AATACAAATGAGAGAAGGCCACCTCATGAGGATTAAGGGACTTTTCAGTGAGGCGTTAGCTCATGATTGTATAGAGCTCAGTCTTGTTTGTTTGCTGGTTGGTTGTTTTTGAGACAAGGTCTCTCTCTGCTGCGCAGGGGCACTATCATGGCTCACTGCAGCCTCAATCTCCTGGGCTCAAGCAATCCTCCCACCTTAACCCCCCAAATATCTGGGATGACAGATGCACACCACCATGCCTGGATAATTTTTTATTTTTTTAAGAGATAGGATCTCACTCTGTTGCCTAGGCTGGAGCTCAGTCTTCAGAGATGGAGAGACATAGATGGGTCTATGTCATTTACAAGTTGCGGGGCCTGTGACAAGCTAATTCCACTCCCTGGGCCTCAGCTTGTTTCTTCCTTTCAAAAATGAAGATGCCAATGGTTCTCACCTCATATTGTTGTTGCAAGGAAGGAAACAATGGGTGTAGAGCACCTGGTGTAGAGTAGGTGCTCAGTCACATGTAATTGCTGTTGTTCTTTCCCAGATTATACAAACAAATTCTTGCTGAGCCAGGATGAAAACCTGGGTTTCAGGACTCTGAGACTGATACTCATACCATGCCACTCCATCAAAGAGAAGGGCACTTTCCGCCTGTATCCCTGGGTCTAGGTTCCAATCATTCTGAACTCTGACCAGCATCTCATAAGTTGAATGAAATATAAACAACTTCAATAAATCTCTTTTTTCAAATAAATGAAATTTATGAAGCCATCCCATAACCCTATGCTAAATCCATGAAACTGTAGGCAGCTTCCTTTGGGACCAACATTTCCTGGCTAATTAAAATGAATGTTGTATCGATGAAAGATTATTTTAAAATGGCACTGATAGTGTTTAGACATTGTCATAACATCAGCCGGTGGATCACTAATTTGCAAATTTTACTAAAGATCTTGCCAATTAAAACCCCTTCTAGACACTCTCAAACACACTGTCAGTGACAGCTGAGAGACCACATGGTAAAGACATGATCACATTAAAATCACACAAGACTGTTCTCCCTGGAAGGGCTGAGGGAGAGAGACGGGGGCACGTCCCCAAAGCGGGTGCCACCGAGTCAACCCAGCCAGACTGTCAGAAGAGAAAAGCAAATTTTTGGGTTTTATTTTACCCTAACTGCTTTCCAAAACAAACAGTGGAACTTCTTCTAAAAGTCTCTAGGAAATTATCATCCTGCAAAATTGTGTTTCTCTTAGGGAGACAACTGAAGAGAAGTGAATCTCTGAACCAAACTGAAACTCGCCCAGGTATAAGTCGGCTCACCTGGGAGGTGGTGGGGTTAGCCCAGAGTCTCCTGGGGCAGTTTGTTTCTCTCCAGGGGTTTCAGAAGAGACAACAATAGAGATGTTGGACAACAATAGTCTCTGGGAAGTCACTTCAATTAATAGCCACAGTGAATTCCTGTAAAAGTTAACTTTATAAGCTCTGCCCAGCCGTGGATCACTGGGAGAAATTTTCCATATTTGGAAGTCAAGGTAGTATGACATGGCACATATTTAAGTACTCAGATTTCATACAGATAACCCTAATAGCCAACACTTATCGAGTGCCTAACGTGCATTACGTCATTTATTCATTGCAGCAACCCTTTAAGATTGGAGTTACTGTTATCCCCAAAAGACAGATGAGAAAATTAAGACTCAGAGATATTGCAACTATTCTTTGTACACACAGTTGTGGCTCATCCTTGTACACACAGTTAGAATTCCAGCAATAGAGTTGGAATTCTAAACCTAGTCCCATTGGGCTCCATGACCCTGGTGGTGAAATTCCAGTGTGACTGGCCTTATCCCGGAGATTTGTGGTCTGTCTACATACTAGTCCATGGAGATTACAGTCTTTTCTGATAACCATGTGTAATATTTCTCCATCCACAGAGATATTCAGGAATATATTAAGTTGTACAAGTGTAACCACACACTAGGTTACTGCCAGATTCAAAATACGTGATTAATTGTAAAGAACATAAAATGAAAATGGGCTTATTAAATAAATTGATAAGTAAATAAGATGGTACTAGTGTTCCAATGTCTACAGTTGTGTAAGCATATTACCCTAAAGCTTAGAGGTATGAGACAACCAGTTAGTATGCCCAACATGTCCTTAATCCATGATGTCTGGGCCTTCAGGTAGAAGACTTGATGCTGATAGCAGGAGTCACCTGAAAGTTCTCAATCACATGACTCAGGGTTGATGCTGGCTGTGGGCTGAGGGCCTCAGTTCCTCATGTAGATATCTTCATGGGGTCTCCCCACACAGTCCTTCTCACAGCCTGGGGGCTGGGTTCTAAGGGCAAGTGCACCAACAGACAAAGCGGGGGGAAATTGTGAAAAGTTTCATGACCTAGTATTGGAAGTCTCACAACATCATCTCCACGGCAATCTGTTCATTAGAAAAAAGTCACTAAAGCCTTATTCAAGGGGAAGGAAATCAGACTCCACCTCTTGTTTGGAGGAATGCAAAAGTCCTGAGTAAAAAAAAAGGTGGGGCTGGAAATACTGTTATGATCATTTTTAGAAAATAACATATGCCACCATTGGGAGTATTTATCATAGTTTAAAGAAAAAATTACTTATATACATAGTATAGGCACAGATTAGAAGCATCCACTTCCCTATAAACATTTTTGTCTATTATGTAAAGCAAACTTATGCATACTCATATTAACTATAAAGCATATATTTTTAAAGCAATCCATCAAAGTACGTCAACTGAAAACCATTGTCTACTCACATATTAGGTGTCAAGTTGATAAAATTTTATTTGCCTTTAAATATATTACAGCACATTTTAGAAATTTAAATTAGCTTTTCTTTATGAGTTTATGAGTTTTGTTTTTTTGTTTGTTTGTGGGGGTTTTTTTGTTGTTGTTGTTACTGTTTTTTGGCATCTGCATAAAGACCTTGAACTATAAAGTCCACCAGGTGTCAAACTGTTTCTTCCACTGTTCTGGGTAGGCAAGACTGAATCTAAATCACTGTTCCATTTTTATTGTTGTTACCTATTAAAATCCCAAGCAGAAGAAAAATATAGCCTAACACCTTCCAACAGGTTCAAAGACAAGCAGGGTATACTAGATGATTTCAAGATGATTGGGGGTTTTCCAGAAATCTTTCTGTTATTGATTCTGAATTGAATTCCATCATGGTAAGATAAAACACTTTGAATGACTTAAACATTTTTAAAATTGAAACTTGTGATAAATGTTCTGTGCACTTGAGAATTTTTATTCTGATATATTTGGATGAAGTGTTCTTATAAATACCAATTAGGTTGTGTTTGTTGATTATGTTGTCCAAGTTTTTAATATCCTTTCCGATTTTCAGTTTGCTTACTCTGTTATTAAGCTAGCAGTACTGAAATCTCTAACCATAATTGGGGGTGTATCTATTGCTACTTGAAATGCTACAGTTTTTGTTTTTTTTTGAAGTTCTGTTATTAGAAGAATAAACACTTAGAATTGTTATGTTCTCCTGATGAATTTATTCCTTTATCTTTATAAAATGGCCTCCTTTATACCCGATAATATTCTTTGCTATGATGTCAACTTTTTCCTTACAGTAATATAGCTTCTCTGACTTCCTTTTGATTAGAGTTAACATGTATATCTATTTCCATTCACTTTAAACCTGTGTCTTTATTTAAAGTAATAAATAAGGTTATTATTTATATAGTTGGATCTTTTTCCAAATCCAATCTGATAATGCTTTCCTCTTAATTGGGTATTAGGGCCTTTTAAATATAATGTGATTATTGGTATGGTTAGGTTTGAGTCTATCTTCTTGCTATTTGTTTTCTATTTTTTTCCCAACAGTTCTTTGCTCCTCCTTTTTTTCTCTGACTTCTTTTGGATTAATTGATTTTTGTGATTGACTGTTATCTCCTTTGTTAGCTTACTAACTGTACATTTGCTTTTTGTATGATTGTAGTGGTTACTTTAGGATGTATAGTACACATATTTAGCTAACCACAGCCTAACTTCAAGTGATATTATACTACGTCCCACACAGTATAAGAACCACACAAGAGTACACTTCTGTTTCTCAACTCTCAGCCTCTGAGTTATTTTATTAATCTATAAAAAGTTATAGATTTTACTTTTACATATGCTAGAAACCTGTATTATATTGTTATTATTTTAGTGAAAATGTTGATATGGTTTGGATATATGTCCCCTCCCAATATCAAGTTGAAATGTGATCATGAGGATTTTGGTGGTGTGGTCTAGTGGCAGGTGTTTGGGTCATGGGGATGGATCGCTCATGAATGGCTTGGTGCCTTCTCATGGTGATGAGTGAGTTCTCGCTCTATTAGTCACCAGAGATAGTGTTTAAAGAGCCTGACACCTCCTGCTCTCTTGCTCCTTCTCTTATCATGTGATGTACCTGCTCCCACCTTGCCTACCACCATGATTATAGGCTTCCTGGGGCCTCACCAGAAGCAGATATCAGCACTATGCTTTGTGTACAGCCTGCAAAACTGTGGTCAAATAAACCTACCTTCTTTCTTTCTTTCCTTTTTTTTTTTTTTTTTTTTTTGAGATAAAATCTCACTCTGTTGCCCAGACTGGAGTGCAGTGGCACGATCTTAGCTCATTGCAACCTCTGCCTCCCAGGTTCAAGTGATTCTCCTGCCTCAGCCTTCTGAGTAGCTGGGATTACAGGTGCTAGCCACCATGCCTGGGTAATTTTGTGTGTGCATATTTTTAGTAGAGACGGGGTCACCATGTTGGCCAGGCTCTTCTGGAACTCTTGGCCTCAAGTGATCCACCCACCTCAGCCTCTCAAAGTGCTAGGATTACAGGTGTGAGCCACTGCACCCAGCCCCTTTTTTCTTTATAAATTACCCAGCCTAAGGTATTTCTTTAGAGCAACACAAAATAGACTAATAGAGGAAATCAATAATCTTTTAAAGAGATTTAAGTCTTACGAAAAATATTTATATTTACCCATGTAATTCCTCTGTTTAGACCAGAGACTTTTCATCCTCATTACTATTGACATTCTTTGTCGTGGGGGGAAGTCATGTGCATTGTAGAATGTTTAGTAGCATCCCTGGCCTCTATCCACTAGTAGCTATAGCATTCCACACACTCTCCCCCAAATTGCAACAAATAAAAATATCTGCAGATATTGCCACATGTCCAGAGGGCCAGAGTAAAATCACCCTCAGTTGAGAACCATTGGTGTATATCCATATTTCCAACTGGAATCATTTCCTTCTCCTCAAAGGACTCCCTTGAATATTTTGTGTAGTGAGAAGTATGCTGGTGATACATTCTTTCAGCTTTTGTACTTCAGAAAAAGTCATTATTTCACCTTCATTTTTGAGAGATATTTTCACTGGATGAAGAATCATAGGCTGACACCTTTGCTCTTCTAACAATTTTAAAATGTGGTTCTGTTGCCTCCTCACTTGCACTGTTTCCTACAAGAAATCTACTGTCATCCTTATCTTTGTTCCTCTGTATGTAATGCATGTTTTATTCTCTGGCTGTTATAAAGATTTTCTCTTTATCACTGGTTTTGAGCAAATTGGTGATGATATAACTTGATGTAGTTTTCTTCATGCTTCTTGCACTTAGGGATCATTTATACTGGTATAAATCTTCATCTACAAACAGTTATGAAACAAATATCAGATTTCTTTTGTTCTTTTTAACTCAAATTAAATCTAACTATGTACCAACCCTCCCCAGTACACTGCAGGAAACTCAGTCATAGTTATTATTTTTCTTTTCTCCACCCAAGTGGGGATGTCCCCCGGACCTTACACAGATAGGGGAATTCCTTCAATCATGGGTCATTGACATGATTTTTTTGCCATGGAGATACTCATGTTCTTGTTCACAGCCAATGTTGTCTTTAATCTGTGCCTGGGACATGGAACTCTTCAGATGGCCAGAGTCCTGTGCCCATCTTCAGGTTGGGAGTGGCTGTAGTTTAGATGTTTGTACCATCCAAATCTCATGTTGAAATTTGATCCCCAGTGTGGTGTTGTTGGGAGGTGGGGCCTAATGGGAAGTGTTTTGGCAATGGGGGTGAATCTCTTATGAATAGATTAATGTCATCCCTGGGTTGGAAAGTGAGTTAGTTCACACTCTGATTGGTTCCATAGACAACTGGTTGTTAGAAAGGGTCTGGCCTCTTCCTTCTCCCTCTTGCTTCTTCTCTCACCATGTGATCTGCACATGCTGGCTCCCCTTTGCCTCCCACCTTGAGTGGAAGCAGCCTGAGGTCCTCACCAGAAGAAGCTGCTGGTATCATACCTCTTGTACAGTCTGAAGAACCATGAGTTAAAGAAATCTCTTTTCTTTAAAAATTACCCAGTCTCAGATATTCCTTTATAGCAACACTAGATAGACTAAAGCAGGGGCTGGCTCCCTAAGTCCAGCACTTTCTTCCATCGCCTATGCCTCCTGCTCTCTCCTGGAGCACTGTGGTGGTACCCTGCCTCCTCCGCAGCAAGGGACTCTGTCTTTCACTACTCCCCAGGCTCTCCTCCCTCTTTGTTCCCCTTTTTTGAATATCCAGCACAATCTACTCAATAAGTTTGATTTTGAAGAACGACAAACAGGAAAGTCAGATAACTCCAAACATCTTCTGCTTTCCACACTGAGAAAACTCCCCCAAACAAAGAAATGCCAATAGCATAGCCACCTACTTGAAAAGAGGATCAAAGGAAAAGTTTGAAAAACAAAATCTAAGTTTACACCAAAAACTACCCTTCCATCTGTATAAATTATAACATAAGATGATAAATGGTATAATATATATTTAAAAAGTGCTATGGGAACACTTTGGACTAATCTGTAAAAGAGGCAACAACTAGCTGGATTTTGAAAAATAAGGAAGAGGGTGCAAGGCCAAAACAAAGGCATTCCAGGAAGAGTGAGAAGCTTATGCAAGGCCCCCGGTTGTGGGGTATCTTCAAAACAATGAGGAAAAAAAAAGAGATCATGTGTGGCAGTGTGTGCAGAGAGAGTGAGAAAGGAAGAGTAATAGCAGAGGAAGCTGGAAAAGTTACTCACTAATCCTGAAGGGCTTTGTAAGCTAAACCAAGAAGCTGAGATGGGCTGTGATAGGGAGCAGACATTCAGCAGAAGTCCTTTAGGTGTGTGAATAACATACATAGCTCTATTTTTTATTGCAATGAGATTATCAAAAATTAAGACACAGCAATTATGGTAAAAAGAAAACTGTATTCATTTTCTATCAAGTAAAATATCACCAATTTAAACATCACACATTTAATATCTCATAATTTTTGTGTTCAGAAATCCAGACGAAACTTAACTGGGTCCTCTGCTCGGGGTCTCTCACAAGCCCGCAATCAAGATGTCAGCTAGGGCTGGGATGTTTAAAGGCTTGACTGATGGAAGATCTGCTCCAAGCTCAGGTAGTTGTTGGCAGACTTCAGTTCCTGAAGGATTGTTGGATGGTGTATTAGTCTGTTCTCACTGCCAATAAAGACATACTGAAGGCTGGGTAATTTGCAAAGGAAACAGGTTTAATGAACTCACAGTTCCATGTGGCTGGCAAAGCCTCACAATCATGGCAGAAGGCAAAAGAGAAGCAAAGGCATGTCTTACATGGTGGCAGGCAAGAGAACTTGTGCAGAGAAACTCACATTTTTAAAACCATCAGATCTTATGAAACTTATTAACTACCATGAGAACAGTATGGAGGAAACTGCCCCCATTATCTCTACCTGGCCCCACCCTTGACACATAGAGATTATTACAATTCAAGGTGAGATTTGGGTGGAGATGCAGGAAAACCATGTCAGATGATGAGCTTTGCTCTTGGCTGGATATTGACCACAAATGTCCCTCAGTTCCTTGCCACTGGGTTTAACTAAAGGCAACTCACAATATGGCAGCCTGTTTCATCAAAGCCAGAAACAGAAAGAGTCTATTAGCAAAACTGAAGTTACAATCTTATGTAACATCATCATGGAAGCAAAATCCCATTACCTTTGCAGTATTTTATTACCTAAATGCTGGTTGCAGCTCCCCCCACCCCGCCCCATTCCATATTCAGAAGGAGGGATCACACAAGTGAATGAATAGTAGAAGGAGAGAATTATTGGTCATCATCTAGAGTTTATCCACCACAAAAAGAAAAGAAAAGTAATTATTCACTGGCAGCTGCCTTCTAGCCTTGGAGTAGAAGGTCACAACTACTGGTTTAGCTAGATCAGTAAGTAAAAATTCTAATTGCTGTGACACTCCACATGGGCCTCCAAATAGGCTGCCACCTGTTCAGTATGGGCTTATCTCTAAGGAGAATCAAACAATTAGCAATTTCATGAATTAATGAAGAGTTTTCACTTATACTATGAAAGATAAATATTGCTGAGCTTACATAAAAATCCATGCATTTGTTAGAAAAGGCAGAGATATTTATGAAGCCTGATTCCTTCTTTTAAATGCAAGATATAGATGCATAATAATCCCATTCTTATACATTCTTATAAAACTCATGTACATTACTGAGGAAATAATATTTGAGCAGCAATCTAAAGGATGCCCAGTAGTTAAACAGAAAAAGGTGGGAGAAAACAAGATGCCTAATGGACAAAGGTCAAGGGAAAGATTTTGCAAGAGAAGTCCAGGAAAATGTCGAAGGCAGGTTATGAAGATCCTTCAGTGTAGGAAAGCCAAAGATATAAAATGAAAATCAAGAGGGAAGAGATACACAGATTTTTCAGAGAGGTAATGGTCCACATTTATGAGAGATCTGCCACGATGAGATTTGAGGAATGTTCATTGTAATCAGTGACATAGAGGTTACAAGTGACTTAAAGTCATTTCAGTGACTTGATGGGGATTAAATGCATACTGAAATGGACTGAGGAGTGAGTAAATGATGAGAAGAAAGTAGGTATGGCTTAGCTATAAAAGGATGACAGAGACTGGTCAGGAGCTAAAAGTTTTAAGCTAATGAGTAGTATCCAGTTTGATTCTTAAAAGATCACTCTGGCAGCATGAGACCACTTGGGAGGGGATATTCAAAAGATTAGGCAAGAGATCATATTAGCTTGGATGGGGGTGGGGAAAATTGAGATGGGGTGAGATGGACTGATTCCAGAGATATTTAGAAGTTCCCATGGGCAAGGTTTAATGGTAGATTCAGCAGGGGAAGTTAAGATGAAGTAGAGCTCCTGGGTTTGTAATTGGACAGCTGTAGTGGGTGGTAGTGACTTTCACTAAACCAGGGAATATTAGGGGAGAGTCAGACTTCAAGGGTAGGATTATGAGTATGAGCTAAACCACACTGAGTGGTGAGGTGCCTTTACAACCTCCCACTGGAGGTTCCAAACTATCTGGTGTATATGTGCTCTGGAGCTCAGGAGAGATTTACCAGGGATCAACATTTGGAAATCTTTGACCCATAGATGGCATCGGAAGACTCAGCTATGATAGACAGCATCTAGAGAAAGAACGAAGAGTGAGAAGAAGAGCAGAATCAAACCTTGAGGGACCTGAAGTTTCAATGGTCAGGTAAAGAAGGAATGACCCTTTAAAGGCAGTTAGCAAGGACTAGCCAAGGATATAAAATAAAAATCAAGAGGGAAGAGATACACAAATGTTTCAAAGAGATAATGGTCCACATTTATGAGAGATCCACCATGATGAGATTTGAAGAATGTTCATTGTAGTCAGTGACATAGAGGTTGTATGTGACTTAGAGTCATTTCAATGAAGTTATGGGGATTAAATGCATATTGAAATGGGCTGAGGAGTGAGTAAATGAGAAGCAGATAGGTATGGCTTAGCTATAAAAGGATGAAAGAGACTGGAAAAAAATAAGATAAAATTAATAGAAGGTGATTTTTAAATGAATGAGACTTTATGGTAGTGAAATGCTGAATAATAAAAACAGTGGAGAAGTAAATCATAAAGACAGAGAGGAGAGATTATATTCCGAAATGTTCTGAAAAGGAAGAATGAATGGAAGCCAAACACAAGGGAAGGAGGTGACTTCAGATGGAGAAGAACAACACCTTATTCTAATAGGAGGTTGAAAGAAAGAACGGATGTAGATACAGGTAGGTTTGGAAGTTTGATTTTTAAAAGTTGGGGAAAAACAAAAACAAGTGAAGTTGGTGTGTGTGTGTGTGTGTGTTTGTGTGTGCAGAGAAACACATTTAAAATGGCTTCTATTTTCTTTAGAAATAGAAGTGAGTTCATTTGTGGATCCAGCAAATGGAAATGATAATAGATTTGGATTCTTATGTGAGAGAATTTTTTAGGAGTACATGAGCTTGTATTCTTACAAAGTGAAACATTTACTTAATCTGTTTTCTAAATATTAGATACTTTTTTTTTTAGATGGACTCTCGCTCTGTCACCCATGCTGGATTGCAGTGATATGATGTCGGCTCATGAAAACAAACAGTTCTGCTGCCTCAGCCCCCTGAGTAGCCGGGATTACAGGTGCCCGCCACCACTCCCGGCTAAGTTTTGTATTTTGTTTTCTTTTATACTAGAGACAGGGTTTCACCATGTTGGCCAGGCTGGTCTGGAACTCCTGACATCAAGTGATCTGCCTGCTTCAACCTCCCAAAG